ATAGATGACGGTTGACATGGTCTAATACTCCTCTCCTCACATTGGTGACCCGGACGTGATGTGAACACGCCTACCTAGGCAGTAACGCCCACTTCGATATGAACACGCCTACCTTGGCAGTAACGCCCACTTCAATATGAACACGCCTACCTAGACAGTAACGCCTACTTCGATGGATGATCCACATTGAACAGTTGACTTGCTACTTGTGACTGCGACTTTATCCACCTCCTCGCACTGTTGCTACTCAGTCTCAGCTCGATCACGCACAACGTCGGCTTGCATACTTGTCATTACTTGACTGCTAACGGCAACAGAGGAGCGACTACGATCGTAAAGTTAATACACCTCTCACATTCAGCACTCAAAAAATACGGTGATTTTAATACAGCTCTCCCGGCTTCTCGCAAAACAGCAATGAATCAACTAGTGGTAATCGTTCATCGAATTCTATCACNAGTTAAGCATTTATTTATATTCGTTTTGTTAGATTGTCTTAAGTTATAGTTTAATTTGAATTGAAGAATTTTTTATGCGTTATGTATTGATTAAGAGTAGTTCTTCGATTTAATAGAAATAAAAACTTAGCCACGAGCAAATTATTTAGGTTTATTTACTATCCTTTCTAAAATGAATACAGAAATTTTAAACGTAAACAGTGCTATAGTGCAGCATACTGTCATGTCAATTATTGGTGAATTTTTTTTTTTGAGAAATAGCACATACATTATACGATACTCAAGCTATAGCTCGAGAGGTATGTTAGGAAGAAGTACAGCAAGTACAGCGAACAATTGAATTACAGCAAGTACAGGAAGAAGTACAGCGGAGAATTGAATTGAGCTTTCTAGATTTCATTGCTGCAGAGATTGAAATAATTTAAATATTTCTATATTTCTGCTGCCTACTATGCTGAAATATCCCGAACTTATACTCATGTAGGTATGTGGGATTCAAATGGCTGCCGGAAAGATACTGATCTATTACTAAAACTTTTTACACAGCGAACTTCAAGAGATTTCGAGGAAATCTCTTGAAGTCCAAAGTCATCAATGAAATCAATGTACTTCCGATATTTAAAAGCTGCTTGCAGCAGCTAGTAAATAAAAATTTCTCTATTATCTTAATAATTTTGCAAGATACAACTAGCACAAATTCGCAACTAACGTTATCTCGGTATAAATTAGTTGTTACTGGGAAACTTGCCAATATAATTATTCAGTCATTAATAAAAGCTTAACTATTATTATAATAAAATCGAATTATTTTCCAACAATTTAAAAATGGCATTAGTTTTGCGATGGTCTCTTAAGGGGAAACAAATAAAACATGCGTAACGAAAACAAGAGTAAAATATTCCGAAAAAATTAAACATATTTTATGTGTTTCGATCTGTCAAAAATGTGTACATTACTTACCTAAATTGATTTTAATAAAATAACGTTACCTTCAAGGAAAAAAGGGAGTCACTTTTAGCATTTTTACAATATTTTTCTAGTGAAAAAGGTAACATTATGCAAACGCAGAAGCCCGGAACCGAAATTTCTTATCAAATTGAATTTTTCACTCCATACCAATTGTTTTATCTTATCATCGTTACGGTAAGCCTGAAGGCACTAATATCGAGAAAAGTTTTATTATTATTATTATTATTTTTTAAACAAAATAGGTACTGAGAAATACTTTCTTTCTGTTTTCTGCGTTATCCCTTTCTTTATTAAATAAAAGAGGCTTTTATTTTGCATTAGCGTAAGAAACATGTGCTTTATTTCATAAAATCGCACATATTATGCTCTTCGTTATTTTCTAAAATGAAATCTGCTTATGCACTTTGTGCGGGGAGAGAAACAACAGTAAACCCTGAAGATACAAATGGTAAAGCGAGAATTTTGTACTGTCGTATATATTTTTTAAATGTAAGATTTGATACGTATTCCCACGTGATTTAATTTTCAAACAAGTCAATACGACTATTAAAGAAACAGCAGTGATGATTTCAGTCAACTAAGCTTTAGCTTTGGTGCAAAAAAGTATTTTTTATTTCTTTTTTGGACTGAAGTAATATTTATAATAAGGTTGTCTTTTAGTTACTTAAAGCACGAGAAGGTTGATACTTTAATAACTAGCATATGTGGTTTTTAGGGACAAATATGTACATATTTGTTTTGAGTATTGCATATTTAACTTGAAGACCAGTTAAATTCGCTTTGTTTTCGAAATATTTTTTTTTGGTGTCAAATCAATGTTACTTTTTTTCTTTTTGAATAATCGCGTTACTTTTTATCGTTTTATTGATTTTATTTGTGTTTTTCAAGATCTGTATTTTTAATATTTTGTGTCTTTTAAAAAGTGAATCCGTACAAATGTAAATGAAGTATAAAAAATATCGAAACATATAATTATAAATAAATACAAATAAAAAAAATTTTTTTTTCAAATAATAATTATGCAAAAAAATTGATTTATGTCTTTTGAATGCTGTTAAATTTAAACTTAGTTTTAAAAAAATCTAAATTACTAAAGTTTAATACAATTTACTGAAAATACTGTACCAGCTGGATCTTGAAATTGTTTAAGTTTCAAGTTACTTACGCATGTGGGTGAAGGGGTCGAAGCATTCAAAACTCTTTGCTCAATTTGCTTTTAAAAGTCAGTAATAAGATATTAGATGGCGTGTTAATATGATATACTCAAACCACAGATTATCATGAAAAATTTGTGATCGTAATGCTTTTTGAAACATAAATCAGCATTCTTGAAGATCCATTTTCACAAAAAAAAGACTTGATTTGGATAGAAACTGTTGTCTGCCCCCTTTTTTTTCTTTTTAATCAAGTTCCAAAGCAATTTCTATTTAAAAATTGCTAGAACTTTAAAAGCAGAAAATCATTGATGTGCTTAATTGTTTTTCGGAATGGTGAAATTCAACTTATGCCTGGTAACGGTTATTTAAGGTAAGATTCATACAAGCCCAAAAGTAAGGTTATACTGATTCTAAAAGATGCTAATCCAGAGCTCGCACAAGCATCCGAAATTATAATGTTATGTGCGTAAGAAAAATAATGCTAGCAACAATATTTTGAGAGATTTAATTATGCCCTAAATTATTTTCAATTTTACATTGTGACCTACATTAAATTCATCAATATATTAATTCATTAATTATGACAGGCTTTGTGAACTAATTTAATCAAATACGTCACCACTTGTGCCAAGAAAACCCTTCAAAACCTAATCTATCTTTATATAAAGGGAATGGTCAGAAGATACACTAGTATGTATGTTTCATTTTTGTGACAACACACACGCGTTTCTCTGTAAGTGAACGACGTATGGTTGGAACGGTGTTGAGAAATACTGCTAGGTGTTGCCTTCTTAATACGATTGTTCACAGATGCGAAAGTTTACTTGTTCGAGCTGTCACTTGTGCCTGAGTTTTGACCAATATGACAAAACGTTTTCTGCGAGTTACGGTTACACAATATAGGTTTCTATGCATCATTATGACCCTTAAAATTAGATCTAAGGTGGAAATATATAGAACGGCCTCAAATAATTTGACATTTAAATCAATTCATAAATTGTCTTCTTCTGTTTTTAAGCTGTGTTTCATTAGCACAATTCCTAATTGGTATAGGAATTCATTTTAAGCAGTCCTTAAGTGAAGTCTCGTTTTTTGAGAGCAATATATGAATCAAATGGAATTAAATCCTCAAACTTATAGATTCAAACAGAACTTAGCTCCACAAAGGATGGGGTGTCACTGATTAAACGCTAAGCAACAGAATAAAATAAAGAAACTAATTAGTTAATTTAAGGTTTAATTTTTAATTGTGATATATATTTAATTATACAATCACCTCGTTATATCAAAACAAAACTTTAAAAACCTAAGCCTAACAACAATAATACATTAATTTATTGAGAGGGAAGTATCAAGCCTGTCACTTATTAAAATAAGTTAATGAAAACTAAAACTTTGGCTAATCGGAAAAATAATAACTGAAATAATATCTTTCCCTAGTGAATTCTTAGAATTAGATGTACATAATTGAATAAAAACATGCATTTTAATAATTTTGAAAACATTGCGCATAAATTTATTCGAACGAATGTTTGATCAAGTCTGTAACTTATCAAAAAACAAAATTTCCGATTGAATAAAGAGGCGAAAACTGGTTTATCGTCAAGGGAAATATATCTAAAAGCTCAATCTAAATTCTCGACTTCTAGAAAAAAACTCTTTAGGCAAGTTTGTAAATTTTTATAACGACACTGAATTTTCCTCTATTTAAAGGTATACTCCAAAGAAAGGTTTAAAATATAATCCCTACCTCAGCAATTATTTTATGTTATGCTTAGGTAATGATATAAATATATAAAAATGAAGTTTTGACAGCATTGTATTTATTTTCAATTAAAAAGCAAAACAAATTAATTTGTAAACTTTCATTTAACTTTTGGAAACTATGCTATACATCAGTGACAATTAAATGTTATGTAATCAAATTAAAATGTACGTCCAAGTGATTTTATAATACGATGGTTTTATTGCTAAATAAAGATTAAAATACAATGTTTCTACGTTTGTCAGAATTGTATATAAATTCAATAAGAGATAGACATTATTTTATAATTTTTATTATAACTTTTGGATTTCCGCTGACTAAATGTACAGGACATAATTCTCAATGGTGAGAAATAATCTCAGCAAAACCAAGTAATGACGCAGAAAATAAAAGACAGAGCATTACCATTTTATTTGTTCCGTATTGGTCATATCAAAACGTCTCTCACAGCAGCAAAAAGGAAGGAAAAGAAAATCTAATCCCTTGACCTCGGAAACGAATCCATGTCCGGTCTCTTGAAGGAGCTGGGAAATAAATACCATCGGTGTCTGACAGACCATGTAGTATTTTTTTTTTCTTTTCTCCTGTTGCTTTTCTTTCCTAATACCTTCCTTCTCCTTTTTGACTTTTTTTTATTCTTTTTCCTTGTAGTTCCTCCTCACATCGAAGAAGAAGAGACGAGCTCTGACACCGAAGTTCGCGAAGGAAACGACGTGAACCTCCGGTGTGTCGCCAAGGGCTCGCCAGATCCGGAAACTACTTGGCGAAGGGAAGATGGTCAAGAAATAACTATAGGACGGAAAAAAGGTACAAAGGTTTTATCATAAATACTTGAACGCGTCTAAAATATCACTTCAAATATAATAGAAATATATAATTTATATTCTGCTTTGGGGAAGTGTGAATAACACTTAAGTACCACCGATTTAATAAAATTAAAAAAACAAATAATGATAATTAATTACTTATTTTTTGCGAGCTTGTTTCAGAGTATTAAACATTGTTTAAAACACATTTTGTTCTTATTATTATGTTACAAAGTAATAACGCTATTTTTGAAACAACAAAGGAATTTCTATTGCAGGTAACATTACACCTACATTTTGAATCCCATATTAAATCCATTCTAACCTAAACAGCTTCGTTAAAGGCACAAAGCTGTCATTTCGGAGGTTTTGAGTTAAAAACTTAATGGCAACTTAAAGCCTACTCACCTTTAAATAACTTAGTATCAGTGTGCCTGGGATGTAAACTCTGTTTATGTGCAGTGCTGATCAAATCGCAACAATCATACAGTCGGTCACGAAATTTTAAAAATTTAACCTCCATGGGACAACCCGACATATAACGGGATGTTACAGGACTGCTTATTCTAAGACCAATCATTATGCAACTTTAATTATACTGTCAATTATCTTGAGAAACATTTTCAAACACATAAATGAAATATTTTCAAGAGATGCAATCAGTAATACCAATGTCCACCCACAAATTACACATCCTGAGTATAAAATAGGGGGTGATGATTCCAAAATCTTAAATAGAAACCTTTCTTTTTATGGCAAATTTGAGTTTTTCAGAAAAGTGCTTGCAATTTAGTTACAGTTTATAATATTTTGTTCTACTGGTAAAAATGAAAAGGATAAAATGAATAGATTTTTTTAGAATGGAAATGTCGCTAGCAATCCATGTAGTATTAAAAAAATAAAAAGCAAGTGCACTTATACTTAAAAATTTTTTTATTGACATTAAACTCGACCTCTTCACTCTGATAGTATTCCAACGAGGGGCAATAGTTTTGAGTGTTTCAGAGTTAGCCTATCGTAATTACAGTAATATGTCATGAAAGTAATAATCAGCTATTTAATAAAATAATTTTTTTTTTTGAATTTAGTTTTAACTATGTAATTTATCACTAGTTTTGCTGCGTTTTATATAACTTCGCTACCTACATTTATCATTTAGTGATATTTTGTTAAATGACTATAATGAATTATTTATTAGGTAATAAATAATTAAAGTAAAAAAATCTAAATCCCCTGATCACCGAACACGCAAAACTCTGGAGTTTATTTCACTTTTCCTTCTGGAGCTTCTTTCAAGGAATTTTTCATATGTTCAATGCCGTAGGACACTTGGCGTGGAGTAAGCATTTCCCCATTCGGTTCCCAATTCCATTCTAGATCTGCGGCATTCTGAAAAATGGGGTACACTTATGAAATTACTTTACACTTACTTACACACTTGCTTTAAGTGTAGATTATCACGCCTCCATCCAATCAATTTTACTTCATAAGACTATGATATTTTGTTTCAATACTTAAGAAACAATAAAATATCTGAACCTGGGCATTTCTTTCAACGTAGCTTAAACTTTTCAGCAGCGCAGGCAACCCAACTAGCAGGATATACTGTGCGTAATTAGCTGTATAGTATCTCTCGCAAGTTGTCTCGATAAGTTTCTCTAGTTGTATTTTTGATGAATGTACGATTATAGATTTTTGTAATACACTTAAACTTCTTAAAATAAGTTATCGCTTACGAGTACTCATAATTAGCAGAAGTATAGTACAATGCATGAATTAACCTACACATCTCAAGTGGTAACTCAAATGTTTAACATGTCAAATAGATTTATTTTAACAGATTCTTAAAGTTTCTGATATTTTTTTAAAATATGACAATTGCTGCTGATTGATAGCAGCTTTAGTTGCACCTTTTTCTCAAAAAACTTTCTATTTAAGATATTGGGTAACCATTACCTTTATCAGGTATGCCGATTCCAGAAGAATCCAATAAAGAAAAACTTTCAAGTGTGACTGTGAAGCCACCCATATATTGTCTGGACAAACCATCTCATAGGTTCTCATAGTTAGCGACTCAATTCTTTAACTCCGGCATCAAAATCAACGAAACAAAGAATCACTATATAGTCAGTGCATTATTTGGAGTAATTTCGGAACAAGCATCTGACGTGTTAAGGCAACAAGTCGCAGAAGCAAGCTATGAAGTCTTACTACTTTGCTTTATCTTTACCAAAATCAAGAAAATTGCTCCCTGGATCAGAATAAGGGGACCATAAACGTGGATAGTCTGAACTATTATGTCAGATGTGATAATTAGCTGCGACTCAGCTACAAACTGATGTTAGTAAGTTATTTTGGATGCAATGCCTGCTTCAAACAATGCAAGCTGTATTTACGGTAAGGTAAGATTAAATGTCAGAAATGGCAGATAAAAGGAGGAAAGGCAAACATTAACAGGGGTATCGAATTCAGTAGATGCATTACAATCTCTGATTTCCAAATCAGATATGCTATTGATAAGGTCGGTAAATCGGGTCTAAGAGTGAAAATTTAAAATTATGTTTTGAAAAAATAGGAGGGCTACGAGAAGTTTGTACCTCGCATCCCTTCACCTATTAACCAACCAAATTCAACCGATCACAAAGAATGGTTTCAGAGGACACGCAAGACAATGCAGAATGTTTGCATGATCTCAAGCTTCAGAATGAAGCATATTGATGCACCAAACGTAGTAGATTCAAACTTCTACTTCCTTTAAACGAGTAACCCTTGTTCCAACGATGACTGATAAATCACGAAATGTCTACTCTTTGTGCAGGACATAATTCGCAGGATAAAGTTTCCTCGTGGAAAGTGGATCTGACATCTCGATTCTACCTATCACTTTGACCAGTAGAAAACCTAAAACTGTCAAAATGATTTCCGGTTGTACGCCTCGAATGAAACACCGGCTCAAATTTACGATGTACCGCTACTAACTTGAAATTTATTGTTACGGCGTCAATTTCTTTGGAAATTTTACATAACCAAAGCTAACAAAATAATACATGGGACAAATTTTTGCGCTATTGCAAGGTAAGAATTTGAATTCGCATGGTAACAGGGATGTGTAGACCATAGAAAAGCTATTGGGCAAGTCCTTTTCATAAGGATTTCATGAAGTTTGGTGATAAGAGCCAGTGTGGAAACTTCGGAAGATTGAAAGAGTTCACAAAACCAGACATATATTCATTATTCCACAATCAAGATGTTATTCAGAATTTAGGTTGGGAATATATTTCCTCGGTCATGGACCAGGCTTAAACTTACAACCGAATTCCCATTTATACTGATAATATTTATTTGAAAAAACAGTGGCATTTACACCCTTTGTATTATTTGAATTTCTTCATATACCTTTTGGCCTACGCAATGCAGAGCAAACGTTTCAGAGCTACATCAATTCAGCTCTTTTGAGTGCTTGATTCTTGTTATCCCTACTTAGATGATATATAAATTGCTCTTATACCGACGATGACAGAAATTACATCAACGACAAGTATTTTATCGCTCGCAGAAATATAGTATTATCGAATACCAGGAATGCTATTAGACTAAAGTAACTAGCAACGTGGATATTGGCATTGTTTTTCACTTGAGATTTGTTGTAGACTTGCTTATTTTACCAGATCCGTGATAGATGCTTATTTTTTAAGGTTAACCTAAGCTTTAAATATTGCAATTAATTTCGCTATCAATCAATGATATAATTAATATGAAGTTTAAATTAAGATAGGTATTTTATGTTTGCTTCCCTTAAAATATCATTTCAGTATCTTTAAACAAAATTTATATTGTTTTATATTTTTATTCATTTAATTGTTGCTTCTCTTAGCTTGACGGACAGAGTTCCACATCCTCTTTCATCTGTTATAATCCTGTTCAATATTCATGGTTTTGTTTTTATGGCTGTTTGATACGCAAGTTACTAAAAAAATTTATTTTTTCATATCAACATTTCAGTTTAAAGCAATTATTGATCTCTAACATATTTTCAAAAGTGATATGATGAAAAGAAGTAAAATAAAAGCATTGCAAGTTCTGAGGAAACATGGAGGGAGAATTATTTAACTTTAGTTCAAAACGGTTTACTTATGTGGCAAATTTGATCAAATCTCTAAGATAATGGATAAATACGAGCAAGATATTAAAACAAAAATTCTGTTGGATGATTTCGTTAACGAAAATCGGAAATGTCAAAGCCCTATGTTTTGTTTGCTGTTACTTCCCTTAACCTCACGGCTCCAGTACGATTAAAGAAAATATTACTGTATGGAATACGGTTACTGAGAATAATCGCTGTTTATTATTTTTAGTAATTAGATTTATCGAAGAAAAGTGATTTTCATTGTCTTATTTACATTGCATTGATGTATTTTTAAGATTAAGTGGCACTACCCACTATGTATTTACCTGGAGATCAACTTTATATTGGCTTTTTTTAGGTTAAGTGCTACTTCCTGGTATACATTCATACATATTTTAACCAACTTCCTTGGTTTTAATTGCTGATAACCTTCGTTTATTAATATTAACATTATAATTTCATTGATGGTGTCATCTAAACAATAATATATCATCTTTCACTAAAACAGTTTAGGAAATTCTTCAAATCACTTCTTTCTTTAAAAAAATCCCTCTACAGAGTTTTAATTTAAACAACTTGAGTGAATTGATCGAGTGCTCAGGGATTTGAAAAAAATATCCATTTTTATAATCTCCCTTTGACATTTATTTATTATAATTTTTGTTAAGTTTTTGGGATTCAAAATGAAAATAAATTAACAGTAGTATTTAATAAATTCACTGATTTTGATTGCATGTTGATAAGTAAAACAAAACGCAAATCGTTCACTATAGCAATCATTTAAATTATATGTGGGACTTACATTTCCTCGCCGTGGTTTCACAAGTAATTTCGGACTACCGTTGAACTTTCGTAAAAGCTCAGTCTGTAAAACCTTTTTTAATAAGCATTTATTTTAATTTATAACTACATTATACTTTGGCTTCATGCTACTTCGAAATTAGATTGAAAAAAAAATGAAAAAAGAACACTTACAGAATTTCGGTAGATTCACAAATATAAATTGCGATGTTTGGTGACAACAGTTAAATCCTCCATTTAAACGGAAATTTAGCTAACGTATGCAAATGTAAACATAGATCGAAATCATTATGTAACCCACGTAAATAAATGAGCACAATTTAAACAAAATGTATAAAACAGTTTATTTTGACGATTTATTCAGCTTTTAATTTATCATTTCTGCCCAACATCCAACTCAGTATGTCTCAGCGTTTCGTAGCTCACACGATAATTATCCTTATGGAAATGTATTATTTTTGGATTAGAGCTAGCTTTCGACTGCTCCCTCATTTGATATTTCAGTTCTTTGTTGCCAAACGTGAAAAAATCCTCTGTTTTTTCTCAAAAGTATGCGCATTAGAAATTTGTATAAAATCTATATATGTATTTCTCTTGCATGGCGACAAAAAAAAGTCTCATTTCAACTCCCCGAATGGCAACGCTAGAAAATCGACCAATGATTGCCGCTAAAAATGTCACATGCCAAATCTAGCTGAGGTGGCTCAACATATAGCACTTTTAAAAGCGGAAACTGAAATAACCTGAGAGAGCATTAGCTGTGGCAATCTCATACTATTAAGCTGGGCAGAAATGTCTTTGTCTTTAGATCCCTATTTTAGTATTTTGTCGAAAGTGCTTTTTCTCACGAATTTATATATTACGAATTCATTTCACGATTTTTGATTTATATCACGAATTTATTTGTTTTATTATTGTTATCAGTTATTCATTGAAAAATGTGTCTCAGTCGCGCTGTTACGCTTTAAGATTTTATACTATAGCACATTTCTAATAGGTTTAACGAATTACATGTCATTTATTTGAATTCAAATTTATTTTAATGACTTAGTATTTACAAAAAAGATGGATTTGAATGATTGTTTTGAATTCTTAGAATTTTGAGCATTTGCAATGTAGCGAGCGAAGCAAACCATATAAGATTGCGTAGCAATTTTCGGGGGTTGGCGAGCGTTCGCGAACAGGGGGCACAGCCCACTAGTAGATGGTATTTATGGTAGACTAGTATTTATTTTCTTATTTATATTTTGGTTTTATTTAATATAGTAAATAAATAAATTCAATTGGGTTATTAAATGTTCCGACATGGTCATAATTTTTTTCTTTTTTTTTCTTTCTTTTTTTAAATTTTTTTTTTATCCTGGTCATTAAAAAACCGAATAAAAATTTTAAAATTTAAATAAAATTTTATTAATTTTTTTAGTCAATTGAATACCTGCAATTGCCATCATCGTTTGTAAATAGTAGCATTTGTCTATTCAGAAGCGAATCAGGTTCGACACGCGCACCCAAGCGACATCGCATACAGGTTTCCAATTAAGTATTATTTAAATTACATGATTAGGGAAAATCACTTAAATTCTTCTCGAGTAGGAAGTACCCAATTGTCTCTAAAAGACACTAATTGAGCTGACACAAAAATAGAAAAACAAAATGTTTAAAGTGTCTGGTATCCATAATGTTCTCCAAAATCTTCAAAATGACAGTAATCATGTTATTACACTTTTGTCAAATTGCCATTGCTTTATTTTCAAGATGTGAATATTTTGAATGCTAAGACGTCAAGATGTGAATATTTATAAACAACTTTTAATTTCATTTTATTTCTCTCATCATTTTAAATTAATTTAACGTAAATAATATAAATATCACATTATTTTCAATTGGTTTAGATTTTTTTTTATTCATAATGAACTTACATAGAAAATATTGGTGTAATATCGTTGTAGAAAAAATAAGTAGATTTGTAGCTTTTTGGAAAAATTGTACACGATATTTAGTAATTATTTCATAGCATTCTATCAAACATGCTATTTTTCGAGAAAATCTTAGTTCATAATTATTTGTTCCTTTTAATTTGGAGGTGTGGATATAAGTATGCATTTATGAATAATAATAATTATAAACATACTTGTGAATAATAATTGTTGTAAGAATACATGAATAATGTTTGCTTGCATCAGAAATGAGTAAAGAAGCTTTCATGCATTGTTAAATGGTATTCCAGATCTCTATTTTCTAGATCAAGAGATCTTTATATTTCTTAAAATTCGAGCAAAATTTTACTCCAGATATCACTTATCTAAATAACAGCAGAACTATAAAAAGATAAGTAAATATTTGATAATATTTGAAAAATATGTGAAACGAAATGAGTCAAAGTTCGGAGAGACTGAGCAATTATAAATTCAGATATTATATATTGAGGAAAAGAGCATGGTAACTACCAGAATTTGGTAAAAACGGACAAATTTCTGACTTTATGGGAACATTAGAAACCTCAATAATTTTTACCGAAGAGCTTTGATAATGACTTTGGTAAAAATAACAATCACATATGGTTTTATAATTCGTGATAAGATTTGGTAAATGTGGTAAAAAAATTTTTTTCTTTACACTTTAGAGCTTCGCATTAAAACCATTTATATTGTTACATTTTCTTCTCAGTTATTTAATTTTTTACCAAATGTTTGAAAATAATGTTTATTTTGAAACTGAAAAATTATCAGATGCATGGTTTAAATACTGTATATTTTGGTTTAATGAACTTAAATTATGTTTGTTTTTCTTTCTACCAGAAATGACATTTTATAGAGTGCGGTAATATTACCACAATTTTTTCCCAAATATAAGACCTGTTGAACCCTACTCTATTTTATTTTTGACATTACGACATAAAGTTCAGATAAATTTTGATTCCAGTCGCTATTTATCGAGACTTCTACAGGACTATTAGGAGAAAAGCAAATATTTAGAAAAATAATCGAAACGAAATCATTTAAAAAGACTAAACTACAATCTATTCGGACATTCTACGACTTAATGTAACTCATTCTATATTCTTACTTAACATTCTGTTATGACATAAAATTCAAATACATTTCTAAATTATTCCAGTTGTTATTTATAGAGACTCTTATAGAACCTTAAAAAGAGAAGCAATTCTGTGGGAAAATAATCGAAATGAAAGACTTAACAGTTTAAAAAGACAAAACTATAATCTATTCAGAAATTCTAAGACATAATATACCACACTCTATATTCTTGTCCAACATTCAGCAATGACGTAAAAAGCCAGTAAATTTTGATTCCAGTCATTACTTTAAGAAACAACTTAGGAGAAAACATGCGCAGTAAATTACCATAAATGATATTCCTAAAAGTTAAGACAAACTAAGCAATAAGACATTCAAATATTCAAAAATATGATATATTATATTCCATATACTGATTCGATATTCCGTATACTCCATTTGGAAAAAAATTGAGAGTATAAGAAAAAAATATGTCGATATCGTCTTTTTTCTTCAAGGAAAACTTGTTTTTTTCCGCAAGAGATGCGTTTTCTTCTAAACGACATCAGGACAGTAAAACGATTGACAAGCGATGTATAAAATATACATTTCCATAATCGAAGTAGACACGCTACACTCATATAAATATTTGCCGACGGAAAATACTTATAAACAAAATATCTATGCATAAGTTTTAAGTTGTATCTTCAGGTCAATGCAATCAATAATTATGAGAGATTGAAATTTTTCAGCGAAAAATGATTATACACGAAAAATAATTTTACGATTAGAATACAATTGAATATTTTGTTTATATCTTATTGCTTTATTATTGCTATCTTGTCGTTGTTATTTGTATTGCCACTTGCCAATAACAGCAAGCCTGCTTGGGATACCAAGCGAATATAAAACAGAGTGTGTTCTTCTTGTTTTCAGTGGTACCTTCGATTGCCAAGAATACGATTTCAGCCACACACATATACCTCACAGCCTGTTTTACAGAGTAGATCCATTTATATATTCCCATATCGTAGTTTTGACCTGAACCTGAGTGTGAACATGGTAGACTTTGTGACCCCAACAGATTTAATGTGTATCAGTCACCGTTTAATACACGGGGTCCCTCCAACCGGTGGAAATTGAACTACTATTCACATGAACATGAGTCCAACATCCTACATACCAGACTACCCCGGCTCATTGTTATCTTATTGCGATATTATCAACTTATAAAGTTGACAGTTTTCATTTCAATTATCAACAAATCAGAATCTCTATGTTCTATTGTTTCGTCGTACTAGGATTATTAAATTTCCCTATTTTGACAAAAAAATCAAGCTTTAGGAAATGGAATATATACCTAAAACGAAAGATAATAAGAATATAAATAAAATGAGAAGCATCTTAACATGAATTTTCCTGTATACACACTGGTCAATGATTTAAATACCTTAACTAAATATTTTATTTGAATTCCTTTTTCTTTTCTTTTTTCCTTTTTTTTCTTCATCCAAATGCTTACAAGAAATACACATTTTCATCTAAATGAGATTTTTATGTTATGCTAAGTAATGAACTTACAATATCATCTCAAACATTTGTAAGCTATAATAACTTTTATTTTTAAATTGTCACTTTTTATTAAAATCTTTAAAAAAAGTCATATTTATTTTATTTTTTAGTACCGTCAATTAAAGGAACTGATTTGAATATCACCAAAGTTGGAAGATTACAAATGGGAGCTTATTTGTGTATTGCTTCGAATGGTGTCCAGCCAGCAGTTAGCAAAAGAATTGTTCTGAGTGTAAATTGTAAGTATTAAGTATACTTTCTCAATGAAAATTATTTTGAATTTATAAAACTTTTTTTAAGTTATTTAAAAGAACGTAAAATTTACAAAAAGAAAATATTTACACTGTAAAGAATAGTATATTTCAAGAATATTCGGTTTACTTAACAGCTACAGGAAGGATTTAAACTTCAAATATCTATATCTTCTTTTAGTTATGTTACGACCAAAGTATATTTTTTTCATTAATATCATTTTTAAGGAATAGTTTATTATTTGTTACAATACTAGCTGAATAATCGCTCTTTGCACAGATTGAAAAACAAATAAAATAATCAAAACTCATTATTAAACAATACAAAATCGAAAAGCATATATATTGAAAAGCATCTACAGACACTATTAGTAATGCTAAAATGATATAAATTAATTTTTATTTATTTTATTTATTGCCTTTCTAGTGAATATATGATATTAATTAAGCCAAAACTTTTTTTCTCTAATCCATTAAATCAAAATAAAGATTAGCCGTATCACATGGCATAATGCTCTCGGACAACTAGATAGGGAAAATTTGTCGCCATCAAGTTATTTTCGCAGGTACGTTATTTTTCTTTCGTGGGGCTGTAGGACTCTTATTTTCACGGTATGTGTATTAAAACTGCTTAGTATTGGATCAGTTATAATAATTACCAAATATATAAATGCATTACTTTGTATCTATTATAGTATATTTGATACCTATTAGATACTCTCCAAAAGTTAAGATTCGTGCGAATCAGTAATTTGCAAACTAAAGCAGAAAAGAAAAAAAAAACGAAATATATTTTAATAAAACCTTGATCGTAATGCGCTGACATTTAATATACTTTTTGACATTTAATATACTTTTTAAAATATTTGTAAGTAGTGATGCAAAAAATTTATTTTATTTCTAATTCATTAAAATATTAATGCCATATTTTTGCTGCCACTGGATAACAATTTTCTGAAATTCTTAAAATTCATTGTAAAATTCTTATTAAAACTGTCCCTATTACCATAATACTAGTACTCAATATTCGCAAAATAACTGAACTAAACTAAACTTTTAACTAAAGTGAACAATGAATGTGACTTATTGTAAGATTTAGGTAAAAATATTTTAAAAAATTAGTAAATATGGTAAAACTTGGTAATTTCAACATGATACTTTTGAGCATGGGATAAAAACAATATATTTTGTTAAGTTTAATTTTCAATTGAAAATTTTAACTAAATGTGAAAATAT